GGCCTAAACGATGCAGGTACGCAGAAAGCGTGTTCTAATACTTATGTATACTGGGCACAACTGCGATCATTTCTGATCACGATGGTGTCGCGAATGGTACCTCTCCACGCGTGAAAATCTCCAACAGCAGCAGCAGCACGAGATCTGGACCGTTCAACCAAACTTCTTCGCCCACGATGGAGACCCAAGAACCACTTTCACGTTTTGACTGTGTCGAGCCAATTTTACAGTTGGTCCCCTCTTCGGCGCCTCCAAGTTTAGGTAACGGTGCCGGATCGAGGGGACAGTAACGGTGAGCTCGTGGGGTGAACGACGGAGAAAGTTTCCAAACCGTCTCTGTTGTTTTGCTTGGCTGGCCCGGGGGTATCCTTGCGATGTTGTCGCAGCCAGTGCGGACTGACTGCGCCAACTGAGACGAGATCGGTTGCAGACCAGCGACAACAGTGTCCCCAGAGTGCACGGGAAGGGGAGCTGAGATCTGGTATGCCCAAGCCTTAAAAAATTCCGCAAATCCTGGTGACGGCACTGTGACCCGGCGACTGTGAACCACCAGTGAATAGGTTTGCTGGCCACCGCTACCCTCTGGTTAGGCTACAGAGCCAAAGCGCCAGAGGAGACAATCTCACTAAGGCAATCAAAAGGCCTATTCAAGTCCCTCGCCTCGGGGAGTAAACTGAAAAAAACCATCAGCTCCAGCGGAATAACCGCTTAATATTCCCAAGCTGCCAACAGACAGTCAGTAGACTACAAATGTTCACTGATTCCCCGCGCAGACAGCACTACGAGCAGCGAGTACGCGAGGTACTCCTCTCAACTCGCGCGTTAATTGTCCCGGAGTACGTACACCATCAGAAAGCACACAAGTGACTGACGAGCCCAAACCTTTGCACAGCTGCGTCATGTCGCAGCCAAACAAAAAACCCGGCGAGACACTTGTTCGGGGGTTTTGACGTAGCATCCGTGTTGCCAGGACGGGTGAATCATGCAACATCTGTGCATAAGCCGTCTCGACAGACAGACAGTAAGTTTGTCAACTGTTTGCTGAATCAGCAACTGCTTACATTTAACTTGGGGGGAGGAGGAGTGGGGGAGAATACACAAAGACGATTTTTGCTGTCCGAGCGACCTCCGATAGGCTGGATGAGGCTTGGATTCTGTGCTCGAGTAAGGTAAGAATGCGACCGGACCTTAAAGTCCTATTTAAACACCTGCAGATAAAAGTGCCATTATCTAAGGCAGGTCTGTGCGCATATAGTACAAAAAGGGGGTCTTCTGTCAAGTCAGAGCAGGTCGTCAACTTTTTTGACGCATGTTATAATTTACCCACGAAAAACCGGGACGATAAGAATCCTCTGCTTAACTGCAGGTTACCCCGTTTGTCCATACACAGCAGGCAATTGGTTGAGCTCCAGCAGCAGCTGACTGTGAAATAAACAGAATATCGGAGCTTAAAAATAAGTTGTCACCGCTCGGGAAGTCAGGATTCAAACGGCTTAGCGAGCTGTGATTGGACTTTTCGCGAAAGCAGTGATTTTCCGCGCCACACAAGGGCTACATTAACGTTTACCAAGACTACCACCAAACAAATGCAGCACAACCAGAACTTGGTGCTTGGCTCACGGCAAACGTTTACTGACTCTGCCGGTTTTCACAGAGAGCCCTAAAGCTTGTTAAACTGAATGATAAGTACTACAAATTTTGGGGAAATACTTTGTGTTTCTAAATACCCATTTCTGCAGAAAGCCACTATTCTGATAGACTCAGGAACTATTATCAAGTGAGAAAAATTTTACTCGACTAGGTTCACCTACTAATGCTCCAGGACTAAGTAGCCAGTACCCGTGTTTTGAGTGCACACGCAGTGGAGATAGTATCTCAACAAATGATGTAGGTTCTAGTGA